TAGCGCCTCCCCCCCCCCCCCCCATGCGCCGCGGGGGGTGAATCCGCGGCGCCCCCAGGGCCGGCGCTCACAGTGCGCCACGCACCCGGGGCCGGCTCCGGCACCGCACATGCGCCACGTGCCCGGGGCCAGGCCAGCCCTGAGCACTTGGCGGGCACCGAGAAATGCCCCCGCGGGCACCGTGTTGGGGACCACGGTACTAAAGTATTTGGCATTCACCTGGTTTATTCAATTTAAAACAAACTAGTTCTTGGTTTATAAGATATCATTACTGTCTTTTGAACTTTACAATCTTGCATTTATGGTAAAGTACTTTTATTCTTCATCATATGAAAATCTGCCTAAAGATTCCTGTGGATCCATGGTTTTGTGAGCAGAACTCCTTTTAAGTTGCATATAGAGACTGACTAGGAGAGATAAATATGGTAACTTGAAAAGGAACTAAATACTGATCATTAAGGTTACTGTTCTAATCTATGGATGACATGTATGATATGAAAGATTTAGATTTACTGAGAAGCACCAGTCAACATGGTTTCTGTAAAGGTTAGAGTTCTTTGAGGGGGGTCAACAAACATGTGGACAATGGGATCCAGTGGATATAGTATACTTAGATTTCCAGAAAGCCCTCACCAGGTCCCTCACCAAAGGCTCTTAAATAAAGTAAGTTATCATGGGACAGATCTAATAAACCTGAGGAAGTGGGTCTGGCCCACGAAAGCTCATCATCTAATAAACCTGAGGAAGTGGGTCTGGCCCACGAAAGCTCATCATCTAATAAACCATCTTGTTAGTCTTTAAAGTGCTACATTGTCCTGCATTTTGGTTAAAAGACATGAAACAAAGGGTAGAAATAAATGACACGTTTTCTGAGTGGAGAGAGGTAACTAGTGGGGTCCCTCAAGGGTCTGTCCTGGGACCAATCCTATTCGACTTATTTATGAATGATCTAGAGAAAAGGATAAACAGTGAGGTGGCAAAATTTGCAGATGATACTAAACTGCTGAAGATAGTTAAGACCAAAGCAGACTGTAAAGAACTTCAAAAAGATCTCACCAAACTAAGTGACTGGGCAACAGAATGGCAAATGAAATGTAATGTTGATAAATGTAAAGTAATGCACATTGGAAAAAATAATCTCAACTATATATACAATATGATGGGGACTATTTTGGCTACAACTACTCAAGGGAGAGATCTTGCAGTCATTGTGGACAGTTCTCTGAAAACATCCACTCAGTGTGCAGCGGCAGTCAAAATAGCAAATAGAATGTTAGGAATCATTAAAAAAGGGATAGAGAATAAGACAGAAAATATATTATTGCCTGTATTTAAAACCATGGTACGCCCACATCTTGAATACTGCATACAGATGTGGTCACCACATCTCAAAAAAGATATATTGGCATTGGAAAAGGTTCAGAAAAGGGCAACACAAAAGATTAGGGGTTTGGAACGGGTCCCATACAAAAAGAGATTTAAAAAACTTGTTTTTTTTCAGCTTAGAAAAGAGGATACTAAGGGTGGATAAGATAGAGGTCTATAAAATCATGACTGGTGTGGAAAAAGTGAATAAGGAAAAGTTATTTACTTATTCCCACAATATAAGAACTAGGAGTCACAAAATGGATATAATAGGCTGCAGGTTTAAAACAAACAAAAGGAAGTTTTTCTTTACTCAGCACACAGTCAACCTGTGGAACTCCTTGCCAGAGGATATGATAAAGGCTAAGACTTTAGCAGGGTTCAAAAAAGAGCTAGACAGATGCATAGAGGTTAGGTCCATCAATGGCTATTAGCCAGGATGGATACAAATGGTGTCCCTAGCCTCTATTTCTCTGTAGGTGGGTGACAGGGGAGCGATCACGTGAGAATTACCTGATGTGTTCCTCCCTCTGGGGCATCTGGTATTAGCCACTGTCGGCAGAAAGGATACTGGCTGGATGGTCTACTGGTCTGACCCAGTATGGCCATTCTTATGTTCTAAATAATTTCTTCATGTTATATTTAGTAAATTAATGCACAGCTCTAATAATTGTTTTGAATGTAAAGGGGAAAAGTTTCAGCTGGTGTAAATCAGTGTAGTTCCATTCCAGTCAATAAGTATTTGGCTCATGGAGATCAGCTAAAGATCGGTCCCAAATACTGTAAAGCTGAGACTGAATTATGTCTATATGCTGGTATATTAGGGAGGTGACAGGAGACTCCTCTTTCACCATGCAGCGTATCCACACAACAAATGTTGATCATTTGGCTGCAGGATTATGGTGGCCAATTATGGTCTAGTCAGGAGACCTAGCATGCTGGAAAGAGCATGTGTGTGTGCACCAGCAGAGCTGCATTTCCTAACATCAAACCAATGGCTTCGCCAGGATGGAATAGGTGGAACTGGGGGGTAAGAGTGATGGGGCCAGTTCTCCTTCTGCCACAGCTGACCTTGAAAGAGTGGGAGGGACAGATGCTCTGATCAGGGGCCTACTTTACCTTCTTCCTTTCCCTCCTCCACCATGTGCTCAGGGTTTGCCCAGCTCCACTCAGTGCTCAATACAGAGTGACAGCACCCAGACTTGTCTGACTCTGCCCATGCAGTGCTCCAGCACAGGAGTGAAAGCAGGGCTCTGCGCTTGCCCCACTCCTCCCATCTGCTACGTGGGGCTGGGCGGACAGAGCTCCACCTATATGCCCAGCACTCCAACCGGAGATCGAGAACAGAGCATAGAGGCTTGCAAGCCCCTGCAGCACTCTCTGTGAGGTGCTCTGGGTGAGCAGAGCAGGACAAGCTTCTGACCCCACTCTCTTGGCCCAGCTGGAGCACTGGGAGGATAGGAGCAAGTCCCTGTGCCCCAGTGGGATCAGAGAAAGGGTAGGGGCAGGGCCCTTAATGCTAAGTGGGTGGGCCATGGCTACTTGTAGCTTCGCCCCTGCATCAAACACCAAGTGCACCTTTTCAATCATATTGGCCAGAGTTGCATGCCTAAACACTTCCCCCACCATCAGCTGAGGCATAAATGCCTTTAGAATCCATGGTTTTGAAAATACCCTTCTTCTCCCTCTATAGCAAAACTACTCTACTTCCTCATCGGAGGTATAATTTTGATCAGTTTTTCCCACTACATAAGAACCTTTCCACATACCTAAAAACAAACAACTCCCTCTTAAAAGTACTTTAAATCAAATTTAAAAATTACCATTTCATGCTTGATTGATTAGTTGCTTGCACATTGATATAACATAATTTGGCATATGTATGCCTCTATTTCTACAACTTTTTCTCAAAACAAGTTAAACATATAATGTGTCATAATAGTACAAGATAACTCATGTAAATATACATTTTGAAATAGTGGCTCTGAAATTGCCTAATAACACACTGATACACAACATACTCAGCACAAAGAGATACGTTACCATTCCTGAAAAAGGCTCTTCTTGATTGTCCTCCATTGAGTGGAGGTAATGTCCTCTTTTCTTGGCTAACAAAGGTGTCCCATTTCACTTTTTCTGACCCACCTAATTCCTTCACTTTTTGTAAACAGCTTTCCAGATATTCTACTGGGTCATCAGGCTTGCAACAAACTAACCCATTCAACAGACTCTGAAACATAACAAAAAAAAAAAAAAAAAAAAAGCTTTACGCTATGAAAATAAGCACAAACTGGCATTTTGAATTTAATTTTATTGTATCCATTTCTGTATTCCCTGCACACCCAAAATCTCCAGTTCAAGTTGATGTTTGGGGCTTGCAAGGAATGTAGGACTGGGACCCACACTGAGTCACCAATAGGACTTAGATATAGGTCTCCTGAGTATGTTTTTAGTTTCCTGATTAGAAATGGAATGAAACTGGAAAATAGTAACAAGGTTTATTTAATCTTTCTTAACTACATTTCTGACTGGCAAATATATATAGTGGTTTTTGCATTAGCTAAATAAGATCCAAGATTTGTGTTTTCCGGCTCACTTGTTAGTTAAATGAAAACATATAATTTCCTGAAAGACCAATATGACCACAAATATTTTGTTCATATTAATGTTTGAGAAGCAAAATTATAAATAACAAGGAATCCGGTGGCACTTTAAAGGCTAACACATTTATTAGGGTATTAGAACATATGTTTTTGTGAGCTACAACTCACTTCCTCTGATGCTGTAGAAGTGAGTTGTAGCTCACAAAAGCTTGTGCTCTAATACCCTAATAAATTCGTTAGTCTTTAAAGTGCCACCAGACTTCTTGTTGTTTTTGCTGAAACACAGTAGCACAGCTACCTCTCTGAAAATTATAAAACAGATAGATAGATCTTAAAACCTTTGACAGGTGCTCAAACATCATTTTGATGAGAATGGTTTAAGACGCTGAACTGACCACCAGCCACAGTCATCTAGAAAACCTCCATCACGTAATATTATTATAGTATTGCACTAACTGGTGTAGGTCACATATGTGAAGGAGAGAGCAGACTGTGGAGTGTTATACTCTCCTCTGAAGCAGGTGGGATTGGTTTTTGTTGATGAAAGGATACATGAGGAGATGGTCTATTAGTTCCAATATGGCAATTCCTATGATTAGCTCCTAACATATGCCCTTCTAAAGTGTAGTCCTTCCCATTGCATTTTTCAGCTTTCCCTAGTACATAAAATTGGGTGCTATAGTTTCAATTAGTATAATACATGAAAATATCTTACATTCATGATTCAGTATTTCTCCAAGTGTTATTTTAATAGCTACAGTTTATATAGTTAGGTCAATGTTGTCTTTATATGCAATTGTATTTATAACATAGAAAATAATTTGCATGAGTTACATCTATAGTATAATTAAATAACTTGCATTGCAACTAAGTACATATTTCTGTGGAAGAATGCATACCATTTTAGTACCAGAATCTTTTATTTGCTAACACAAGTCTTGTATCTTTCTAACTGCACAATTGCCTGTATCCATAATTAAACCATTTATTTTTTAAACACATGAATAAACCATAAACATCGTCTTTGTCCTATATATGTCTTTTCAATCTTTCACAGAGAAAGTCTTGTTTCAAAAAGCCTACAATAATATTTTCATACAGATTAGACAGGATCTGAAAATGGTTTATTTTGGGAGAGGAGGAATCCACATTTGAAAGAGCACATTCCTGTTCATTAACAGATACACCTGGTAGCTTGCACTACATCCCTTTAACAATTTGATGTTTAAAAACTCTCATTAAATAGTCTGTCTTATTGATCAGTGAAGTGAATTATTGAACAATGAAGGATCATTTATGCCTG